ACATGTGCAAATGTGCAATGATAATGTGAATAACTGATAAGATAGTGAACATCATAGTGTAACCACATATTAGGTATATACCACTAAACTATTATAGACTATTTTATTATATAGTATATGTGATTGTAGCCAAAAAACCTTTACATACCAGCTATTATATACGTCATTTTAGGTGTTATTATTTATTATAGGCCTCAGAACAGCTTGAAATTAACTAATATTATAGTTCAGTTTGTGGGGGCAGTTGCCCCCATTCGCCCCCGCCAAGTTACGCCTATGTTTATGGTTATTCGACGGAATATCAACATTATTATATTTTATAGTTTATAATGCTTATCCTGTGGGGCAGTTCATTTATAAACAAAATTACTTATATTTAACACTCCAACAAGTACATGTTCTATAGTCTATGGCCACATTATTATATATGATATGTGAATCTGTATGAAAAAAAATCCTRGTCGACAATTCGGCACTAGTCTAACAAAAGCTGAAATGATGCCACTGCGTTATTATGTCGTTTTACAATAATCACGCCTCGTTTTTACATTACATTTTAATAAAACTATGATAATTAATGATAGGTAGGTAATATACTAAATTAAAAAACGCCCCTTATGATCAGTTTATTAAGCCCTCGTCCGTCTTACCTGTGCAATTAAGTCATCCATACGTGTAAAACGTGTCGTACCCCGTGCAAGCTTGTCGTGATAATTCGGTTGTATTGCATTGTTATTTGTTTCTCAAGTCATCGATTTCGCGTAAATCAACTACTGAAAAGTGAAGACGGCCTACAATCAACACGATCGCTTTTAAACGCATCAAACATGACGTCTTCGCTGCAGGCGATCGAAAATTCAAGCACGACGACTCCATCACGACCGCAGGATACATTGTGACACGATGCTTTGCAAGCTTGCAAGGAATGCGTATTGCATATAATAGTTCCGTTAGTAATAATATTATTTTTGGTAATGCCGGTGATACAATAATATTGTACTTTTTGAAGACGACTTGCATACCGCATGATACGTGTTGGAAATGTTCTGCGCACGTGCATAGTTGTATTTCAGCTGCACAGCCAATCGGAAACGTCTAAACAAAACACTTTTTGTCACGCCTACACCGAAAATTTGGTTTTCGACCACGGTTGAAGCGTTGGAAAGCAACCTTTTTCCGTCCAGCGGGTGGAAAAAAGGGAATACCCAAAGTGCCGGGCGGAGAAGAGGAAATCCCCAAAAGTGCCGGCCACCGGGCGCGTATCCACTGCACAACCAGAAACTAAAATGTATACCGACCACGGTCCTTACAAAATATAAACTTTTGGTTACATYTTAAATTTATAGTATRACCTCCTTGCATGACGCATAAACATTTAAATAAAATGTCTTCCATGAAATTGTTTTTGTAGAATAGTCGATAATGCCTTGTTTATACGCGTGACGAGTACTCGGCCGAGCACTGTCCCGCGTGAACTCAAGGAACCATCAGTACTCGGCCTAGTAATCGGACGAGTAAAATAAGCGGGCGAGTGAATAGAAACAGTTTCTATTCGCTGGGCCGAGTGACTACCCCCACTACCAAGACCGAGCAACATAMCGAGTGACACGGCCGAGTACTCGTCACGTGTAAACAAGGCATAATTGTTGCATAGATCCCTGCATAACCTTTTCCATGAACGCAGGGGCATGACAAAAAATAGTATGTGTGGCTCGAGCGGGAAGGCCATTTCCCGCCCTTGCCACACAATATACTATTGTGTTACATAAGCATGACAACACGTAGTTAAATTTTTAGAAACAGTAATTTTCTGCTGGGTAAAAGTTTCGCCTATTCGTACAACTTGAAATGTTTATTCTTGTTTTTGTCTTTTGTTATCATAGTGATTACTTTTATATGAGTTAAGGAATCGTTTTCCGCCTACACTAAAGTTCCCTAAGAATTRTATTAAGATATTTTGGCGGTAAATCAGTTTTGGCAACCTAGTCTAATACGATAACCGGGCGGAAATATAYCTTGGTAAATGGTAATAACCACGATTAAAACTTTCCTCAACCGAATATGAGCAAGTCTGCAAACTTGTAATTTTAGACGCATGCGCGTTCAGTAAATTATGTTAAYAATAATATTATAACTTGYTTACAAAACACTGTGCTGAAACAAACCTTTTGAATATTGATGAAAATCATCATCGCATAATATTTTCAATACCWTCAACATTATTATCYAGCGCAGAGGTTCCCAATCCGTGGTATTGATTATAAAAGTATCTGGTGGTACTCGATGATAAAAAGGTTGGGAACCCCTGATCTAGCGTATTACAATAYGTTATAATATTATAGATGTTACTTGTGATGACCACAGCAGCGGTCATGACGATCTCGCTGCCGGTTGTGCAGCCTGTGACCGGGATCGGGCTGCCGGTGTCCCAGTTGACGTATATCGTGAGCGGAGCGCACCTAGAGTGGACGAGGCCTGGCGATCGGTTACGGGCCACCGAGTCGGGCGAGTACGTGGCCCGTAACGTGGCGCCCGCCCGGATGGCGATGAGACACGACGGCGTCATCTACCTGGCCATGCCCAGACTCAGGCGAGGCGTGCCGTTCACGCTCGGCGCCATCGAGTACGACCCGTGCTTAAGCACCATCGAACCGCCCGTGTCGCCGTACCCGTGCGCTGCAGCCCATTGGAATGCTTCGCGGCCCAACTCCGGTACGGGCAACTGGACCATGGTCAACGTGGTGGACGTGCAATTGGACGATGGTGGCGTGCTGTGGGCGCTGGACATCGGTATGGTGAACCTGCTCGAGGACGGAGCGCCCGTCGTAGTTCGGCCGCCGATGATATTTGCATTCGACACGGACACCAATGAAGTGAGTACGTCTATACGTCATTACTGCAATAAAATACCAATACCTACCTAGTGAGTGAGTTGGTGCTCAATACAAAATTATTAGTTATTATATTATGTTAGACTTAAAATGCATAAAATTTGTTTCTTTAAATTTTTCACGAACAAAATTTTACAAATAGCATAATTTTTCACAATTTTGATTTTTCGCGTGCCATTGGAATTTGACAAACGTGCCACTTTTGGCACGCGTTCCGTGGGTTTTTCACCACTGTTATAGGTGTTTATCTGCTCAATCAATTTAATTTTACTTTATTTAATTACATTTTAAAATGTATAAAAAATTCAGCATTCTTAGTTCATTTTCAATTACACAATATATTATACACGGCATCGAGTCTAGATAAAACTTAATACACAGATGTGTGTATTGAGTGGCACACGACTTGTAGTAGGTATTACTTATTATATTATTATCAAAAATCGATGATGTTTTTAAATAAAAATTACATTAAATTTATGGTTTTAGTATTTTTATTTTTATTTTAATGCATTGTATTTATAATATGCTTTATTAAGTTAAACAAAACAATTATAATTGTGTCCGACAAGATGAACACAAAAAGTAGTTTAGATGAAACTTTTTTTTAAATACGTTTACGAAAAAAAAACGCTTTTAGAAATCGTTATGCTCTTCGTTATGCTTCTACAAATAAATAACTGAATGTAAAAATGTAAACGCGTTCACGTGAAAAAAAATTAAAAATACAATAGGAAAATTCCTTATTCTTTGAAATTTCATAAACATGTTAAACTTATTTACTACGTTATACATAAAAAACGTAATAATTTAAGTAAACACGTCTAAAAAAATCGAGRAAATATTTCTGAATAAGCACTTTCAGGCAATTAAAATCGAAATAACATATTTTGAAATGGTATCAGATTATTTATCTTATTATTTATAAGATATCTTAAAACTTTAATATTGTAACTTGATTTAAAAAAAAWTCAATATTAATTTATTATTTAAATCTAATAAGTAGGTACTGATATTGTATTTTGTATGGTTTTATAGAACTGTTTTACTGCTAAATTTATAAAAAAAAAAAAAATCAAACTCTAAAACTGCATAGGAATATGAGTACATTAACAGAGCTTATTCAGATCGTTTTCATAATTAATTAATTTTGAAAACTATAAATGTTTTATCGGCTCTTTTAAACGGATTTGACGTTTAAGTTGATTTTCCATTTTAATTATACCAATAACCAAACAAAAACATTTCATTCCCGTAGAGCGGCTACAACAGCAACTATTATTCAATATAACAATTAAACAAATTAACCGTCGTAGGTAGTTTACTCTCGCTGCAAGTGTCACAGACATATATTGATCAAAATTCAGTTAAAATTAATGTTTTTATATTAACATGTGTAAATCAATTTTATATTATAATATAAAAGTGATCATTTATCAGCACTTTCRAATAAGTATAACAAATTAGAGCGTTTTTGAATATTTTAACCACTGCAGGTCGGGATTCATTCGAAAGTAAAACAAATATTAAAAATGTAGTCATTTTTCTAACGTTTAGAAAAATAAAATATAAGAAACCGAGTTGCCCGAGATATTAAGAAATTCAATAAATATTAATATTATAATAAATYGGTTTTTATTAGGCAGAAGCATTTTTGAATTAAACTATTATTATAAACACCACTTACTGTATAATAAACGAAATTTCAAAACAATTTGTCAAAATGTTTACGTCTATACGACTTACCAATAGTAATGTAGTTTAATATAAATATGTTCTCCGTGGTCTCGTCTGTTGTAAAATATATTTATTCTAAYATATAAATTTGGTTAGAAACAAAATATTACTGATGCAAGTGTTGTATCACCCTATTGACAGAATGATGCATCTTGGCAATGAGTTGAATGAGCTGCACTATATATCATCTAATTTATTATATAGGTAGCAATATTTGTTTTGTTTTTAGTTTGTATTACCACTTACCTTGATGTCATTGGCTGCAATTTRTTATTAATTGAATTATATGCGTGATTTTTTATGATCATCATTATTTTGATCAAAAGCTTTGATTGCCTTTGGTTATTAGCCTACAGTTGTAACACAGAAAAAGAACGGTTGAAAAAAACAGAATATGAATTGTTTACAATTTATTACTTACCTAAATTTACGGTATAGTTGATTCGAAGTTTTCTTCGTTGAGTGTCAATCATAGAGAAGTTGAGTTGGCAAAGATTTTCCGTGCTTTGTCGTATTTTGGACATCTGATAACGATTTGGTTGATTGTAAGGTTATCTTTGCACGCATCGTATACTTGGGCAAGTTCCTTGGAGATAATTGATGATGAAGGAGTGGATGAGATGTGTGGGGCCTATTCTKKYTATATASTTATGATAACTTGAATTCTTTGTTWTTTATTGTTTCCTTTATCTTAATCTTGTCTTGGTCAATATTTTACTGTAGTCTGTAGTTTATAATTGAAATATTTATGTCTGTCAAATATCAAAAAATATATACATTTCCTCGCAGAGCTTTACACGCGAATAAATCGATACTTGAATTTTACAAATTTTATTCGCAGCAGATAATAATATACGTAATTTCATGTATGTATTTTTTAAGGCAAGTTTGATTTTGAGATTAGTCATTTGTTAAATATTTATTGAGTGAAATTAGTTAACAATCAATTGGTTATTGGTATATACATATAAGTTATTAAATATTTATCGTAATACATTTCAACAATTATGCTCCATTACATCTATAATCCATTCAGCATTTTATTAGTATGTTGCCTATCTGGATAATASTTTTTAATATTAAATAGTATTTTAAGAAATATATAGGTATCTAATATTCTAAAAYATTTAGTAGGTTCCTATTAACATAGCTGTTAAACAAAGGTTTTCCTGAACAACTTATTACACCCACATTTGCCCGCATAATAACGGTAAAGAGCATTCAAAAGTATGTCAAAATGTTTTATTCCAAAGTTTGCAAGTGAACAGTGAATCCCTGCATCCATCATCAAAAGTTGCATAGTCTTGTATATTATATATTCGCAGCACAGTTTAGCTATATATTTGAATCTCGCATGATGTACAGACTGATGCAGTAGAGTTAAAAAAATGTTTGTTGAAATAATTATATTAAAATACAATTTTAGTCGAATATTTTTCGTAATATGTATTATCCGAATAAAATGGTATTTGAATATAATAATTACCTATTTTTTTTATCCAAATGAACAACTTCTACTTGAAAATAAATTCGRATAATCTTTCATTTGAATAATAACGCACTCCACTCCAACTGCAGATAGTGCGGGCGATCGACTTGTCGCGCGCGACCACGGCGGCCAGCTGCTTGCAATCGATCGTGGTCGACCACAGCACGACCGCGGGTCAGTTCGTGTACGTGTCGGACGCCGGACTGGGCAACGTTATCGTGTACAATGTGGCCTGTGACAGTTCGTTCAAGGTGTACGTGCCGGTTGGATCGTGCGGACAGCGGGACGTCATGTACATGGCACCAGTCCTGGCCAACGTGTTGGACATGGCCGCGGGCCGTGGTATGGCCCATTACCGACGGCTCTACGTCACGTACCTGTCGTCGTGTGACATGCTATACATCCCTGCGCATGTCGTCGACCAGACRTCGGTCGGACTGCCRACCGTCAACATTGGTCGGAAGCCGTGCAAGATGATCGTTCTGGGCACCGACCGCGGATCCGTCATCTACTTCCGGACCGGCAGCGACACAGGCGAAATCCTTAGCTGGGACGTCAACAAGCTGTTCCGGCACGAAAGCTTTATGTAAATATTTAGATGTAAAGCAACAATGGTCACGGTTGCAGTGATATGCGCAACTATATTATGCACGCTGTAACACCTATATAGCTCGACCTTTTCATTGACYTTTCATTTTATATTTTTAATTCGGTAGTTTATACCGAATTTTATTCTGATTTCCGAAATTCCATTTAATAATAGTTTCAAACAATCAGATTTTTATGCCACATTTATAGCTACAGAGAAATACTCAAAGTTTAATTTTCATAACCTTTTTTACTATGTGAATTTTTTATGAGAGCAAATGATTATGTTCCTCTCATTATATATACTTTGACAAGTATCGCAAAAAGAATTTATATAAATGTACAGGTAAAGGGATGAGTAATTGAAAATAGGAATGCCATTTAAACGTTCAGTATAGCTTGTMATATTATGATGTGTTAAGTGTTGGTAATATGTGAGTATTAATAAATGATATACTCATCATATCACACTAAATTTAATTGTCAATCACTATAGTCGGTCCAATACTCGTGTTTATCGAAGATTATGTCGTATATATAGGTATAATAATATCATATATGTGGCGCTTGAATCAAAATATTAAAAAGGCAACTTCGATTTTGTGAGGAGCGTTATCTTCTCTTACCAGCAGCTCCAGCCCCCACGCGAGCCAACATATTGAGTTTTACTYGGTTTAGTGTTCAAAAAAACGCATTAGACATCTCCGGCTATTTTTTGCTGTAGATAGAGAGATATGGAAAATCCTTTTTTATTTAGAAGACTCGATGTTAAATGAGAAAGCCAACGTTTGTTATATTGGAAAGGTATATCGGATGTATTTCCTCCCTTAAAAACCTAGATGTCGGACCAAATGTTATATAGTTTCTCGGCGTAAAAAAAAAAAGCAGACAGGTCATTTAAGCACTTAACTTATATCCATTCTAACGATGATGCATTCCTCTCCGTAAGTTCTATTTTCCCGTCGCTCGTCGCTATCTTCATCGCGAGCCATTTTATCCGATAATGAGGCATTGCATACACCTACGCGATATATAATATATACTTACCTATACGTATGGCTACGTGTAATAAATCGTTAATGATCACCATCGTCAGTTAGCTACAGCTGACGTGTAAACGATACTGAGTATAACCACACACCCACGAATACGTGTAATCTTTCGACCATACCATAATATAATATCTACACCTCATATATACATCGCATTAAAGTAGTCACGAAAGCTCTGCAGTTGACAGCGGATTTCCAAATGAATTATTACATGTAAAATCGACAATCTGGTTATGCCCATTTTTTCGACTTAGTTACAGCCATTTTAAGTTATTAAAATGTATATTGYTTTTGGAACAAATATTATGATATATGTATATGACGTGTTTGATAATAATAATAATAAAAAAAAACACTGATATTACGTATCGAATAACTGCAATCGTTGGTTATTAAAACACTATATATGGTGGTCATCCGATATCWGTAGATATATCCAAGTACCTACACTTTTCGACAAATGGGAAAAATACAACAACAGTTGTAATAAAATACGTACCTATATTATYACTATTATAGTTGGTCAAAAAAATATTCCCGACGCGCGTTCACTATTGCGCATTGWATAAAATATATAAAATAATATCGTATAATTCGTATATGCGGATACACGGTGGTGGACAATATAATCGGGGTTCGAAACAATGGGATTCGTGATTGAACTCGTGTTTTATGAGTGTTCATTCTTAAAAACTTTCCACCGACAGTTCCTATATTATGTTTATATAGCTTCTCGAAAACTATGTCATATTTTTCGTTCCGACGCCAGTTTTTAAAATAATAACCCCGCTGAAAATAGTTTAATAATTTGTTCCAAAAATAATAATATTATTATTAATAACAACAATATCTGAAATAATTRTTATTTCAATGTTAATATTATTATATTTTACAGAATTCGTAAAACATACTTTGAGGGTAAAATATAAAACTTTTGAACGTCAAATATAATGCGGCGCATTTATTGTGTGTGTGTGTGTGTGTGTGTGTGCATGGATCGTTATTGGTATATATATATATACGTATCGTATACATATATAGCTGGTCCATACGACTGTTTCACGACTGAAATATCAAACACTGTTTGATAATATTATACAACAACGGCGACTAATTCATGAACTACCACCTCATCGTGTATATATATAATATAATATATAAGCCCGTCATGTGGCCTACATCCCAAGTAAACCCAGTTTTATCCACTGCAGTGCTCGGCTATATAATAATATTATAATGTGTTGTTTTATAGTTAGTACTACGTAYATTGTGTGTCTGGAAGGTTTAATATTTTGCTGTTTTAGCCCTAGAAACAATACTGCTGCAACACCTACATAATTATAATTATTATGATATATTGTTATGCTCACGTATATTGAAGCGTAAATCGGATGATTTATCTTTTTTCACAAGATACAGTAATGATAAACAAATAACAATAATATTATATTTCTGTTTACCATACCATATCCAAATCAAATGAACTGATAATACGATATAATAAAATAAAAACTGTACGGTTATTATACAGTGTGTTTTACTTGATATATAAATACAACGATGGTTTTATGCATAATAGTTTAGGTATATATCTAATATCAGTGATGTTTTTATTGGGGGTTCAAGAGATCAATTACCCCGGGAGCCAAATTCTGATTCCCATAATGAGATGCTGGTGCTTGAAGTTCAAAGGCTTAATATCAATGACGAATTTTTATTTTTATGTCACATCAAAAACTTTACAACTTAACGCATATTTTAACAATTTAATATAATACTGTTTTTCTCTTTTGTTTTGTATAATAAATAATTTTCAATTAAATTTTAATTGTCAAACAGAGTTAAAATTAAATAAAACATGAATTATTAATATAAAATATACATACTAATTAGACTAGTTTCGTTCCAAAGATAACTACGAAAAAAAGATCTAATCAGATTTTCATCACAAGATTTTGTACGTTATATTCAAATTTTCATTTACTTTATTATTACCTATCCTAGTTGTGATTAATATTTTATCATTTTAAAATATGATTTTCATGACTATAATATTAACGTTACCTATTTAATAATAACAACAGTTAACAATCATAATAATATAGGCTTATAACATATTGCCATACTACAATATTAATGATTATTATTGTTCTTGTTAAAAATGTTAATATTTTAATAAGATATTATATTACTGTTGACAATTTATAATAGTATAATAATAACCTATATGACAGTTAAAAACTAATAAATAAACATATTAAACAATTTTTTTAGTATTACAATAAAATTAATTTTAACAAAAAAAATACGAAAAAAAATTTGAAATAAAAACTACAAAAAAATATTTTTAACTTACCTGTAGGTAGTAATATTGCTATAGAGAACAGATAATCCGTAGAAAATGAGAAGGGAAATAAAGTATTTAAAATATTTTTTTTTTTATTTGTAATATTGCTTATTAGTAGGTACCGCAATTATGTAAGTACACATATCTAGTTAGTTAAAAGCTATTGACTACACCTTATATTATTACATTTTATTTTAATAATTAATGTCAATACACAATAGTCCATAATTAACTTTTAATAGATACAACCGTATAAAAACATTAAGCCGATATTTTACAAATGTATGTGTTATATTATGTGTATAAGCTTTTTAATTGCGCAACATTTAATTTAATTTGTTTACTTGCGGCGTTGTTACTGCAAAAAAAATAGGACGCACTCAACTGTAATTTTCATACAATTAAAATAACGATTTTTAGGTTGAACAAGTTGAAATAATAATTTTGTAAAAACCAAAAGAAATTTCATTTACATCTGATGATAATTTCACTAATATCACAGTAAATATTTGTTATTTACATAAATAATTTTAAATTACTTGATAAACACAGCCACTATTGGAGAAATATCGTATTATAAATATTTGGTATTTGATCTTTAATTTTTTATTTAACTCTGTATATAAACTAAAAATCGTAAAAAAATCAATAAATTAAGTCTTATTAAATAAATATAATTATATAATACTTCAAATAAGACGCTACGTCGATACTTAAGAAATTTGTATTTGGTTAACAGAATATATTTTTAAAAATAATTGTATAACAACTTTAAGCTTTGAATTATGTTTTCTACAAGCTGTTGAACTAGACAGCTGTCAGATACAGTTAAAATTCTTAACAAAACGTAAGAATATTAATTTAATACGAAAGATGAAAATCCAATAATGCATTTTATTATTTAAATTATATTTAATAATAATAATAAAAATAACAAAGATTATAATATTTAAATTATACGATGAAGAAAAATGTCTAAAAGTAGGTATGTATATAACTATCAACTATTCGTTTTGAATACATAATAATATTATTATTACTAGCACTAAGTACGTACCTATTATGTATTGCGTTTTATTATAATATACTTGATTTCGTTAAATTATGCAGTTTTAGAATAAAACAAAAAAAAAACTCCAACTAGGTCAATTGTAAAAAATTCACATCAATATATACATTTATAAATATATATAATTACTATATAATAATTGTTGTTGTTGTTAATTAAATAATAATACTTTGATTATTAGTCATTAAAAAATATATAAATTCTAATTAAAGGTTATAATATATTGCCTATTATATTAATTTTGAAAATAACGTTGAAAAATGTGTAATTTTGTAATTTTTACATGAACACATTGAAACATTATTTTCTAGGTACCTCACAGATGATAAGGTAGAACATCATCATATCATAGAACACATAATTTTATGTTGTCCTAGTGATCTGCAGGCAAAAAGTACATTGTATTGTAATATAGGAATCTGTATCAATTTCGTGGGCAGATAGGCCAATATTTTGGCCAAACAGGAAATCTTTAACGAGACCCAAAAACATGAATAACCCATCAAAGAGCCGTCAAACGATAAAAACTAGTCC